ATTCTATGATTCTATGATTCTATATCAGGACTGAAATTGCATTACTAGAGTTAATGGAGAAGCTTTTACAACACATGCCTGCAATACAGCTGGCTCAAAGCCAATGCTGAGTTGCTAGCTTTTTCAAGTACTTAGTACAGCTGCAAGAAGTAGAACTGAGTGTGGATACTCAGGCATGAACTACTGGCAGATTGCAAGAGATTTTGGTGCTTTGCAAACTAAAGGGACATATGTAGAACAGCAGAGCTGAATCAGGATTCTGATATCCATCTAATGACTACCTGCAGCTAAGCACATTTCATAAATTACATGATCCAAAATCCACTAAAATCAATGGGAAATTTTGCATTACTTAAATAGGTTTTGCCCAGGCCTAAGGCACAGGACACTCTGAGATGCTAGAAGTTTTCTGCAACTAGATTTTGTTGAATAGGGCTATAACTTGTTCTCCTTTCCAAGACTACCTGGGAGACAGAAACAGGACTTCTTTTCAATTTGGCTAGAAATTACACAACCGAATTCTCTTTCTCCCTACAGATGAGATGCCCCCACCTGATCCAAAGTGCTTTGAAGTCAGCTTTGAAATAATCTTATTGTTTCTGTCTGTTCTGCAAACTCCTACTTTTCCTGTTCTTAACTGTAAGAAAATAAACTGAAGAGAAAAAAAACCTCCAGCCGTTACAAAAGAGAAATACAGATCCTGCTTACAACGATCCCACCACCCTCTTCCTGCTTCTCTTGGCTTCATAATGTGAAGTCAGCTGGAAACACTGAAACCATCTTCTGCAGCCTCTGTTAGCATCTTACTGAAGAACGTCACAGCCCCAGCCCCAAACAAATTTCCAGGTTGTCTTCAGCTTTGCACTGAGTCAGTCTGCTGAACAGGTCACTAGTGCACTGACAAGCACTGACTGCACATCTCTGTCAGGCTCACAGCTTTGGTCTTTTCAGACTGAGGGAGGGCTGATGGACCCATCAGGACACTGCAAGTCCCCTGTCCCAGAGGAAGTCAGGGCATCTGGGGGACAGTGCACAGGCAACTCTCACCCTTGCGCACAGTTGCCAACACCTCTGAGGTGGAAATGGTGGCTGTTTGGAGGGTCCTGTCTGGAACGACCTGGCCTAACGCCATGAAAAGCCACTGGCTCAACCATTTCTCTTCTGAGCAGATGACCGCAGGAACTGTCAAAGGGAAAACAAAAGGAGCAGAGTCCTTTCAGTAGGTGTTATTAATGATGAGAATGAACATGTTGACACCATCTGGTCTAGTCTAATTCTGCCTAATATAATCTCCACCACAGTTGTGCAATAGGGCAAAGTGACCTAGAGGAAGTCTTTAGCAGAACAGGCTGGAAAAATAATTAGTGGTGGGATTTTTTGTAAAGGCCTTTCAAGGGGTTACTCTTAGTAACCTGGGGGTCTACCTCCCCTGAGGCATGTTTAAAAATACCACACTAAACTGTAAGCTTATCTACTAGATCCACCTTCTGAGTCACAAAACCCTCTTTTCTATGGTCAGACAGCCAGCACTCACTGAATGCATGCTTACCTGTGCAGAGTTATGATATGTGAATACATGAAAAAGAGCATGTTGCCTCTGGAATCACCACCTCTTACCTGGAGCTAAATTCAGACAGGACTTCATACAGATTTTTACTGCTCATGTTCTTAACCTCACAGAAAAAGCCCATCACAGTTAGGGACTCAATAACCTGCTCAGGGCTGTGAGGTCTGGGATCCCTGAAAATGATAAGAGGAACATGCACCTCCTTGAGTACCATGCTTCTCTGTATGTGGTTTGGAGGAACGCCAGCCTCCGTTGCTTGTCCACACAATCCTGCTCCATGTCTGTTACCCCCACACTGTGGATCTATTTCCAGTATGTGTAATTGCTGATAGTCTACCAAAAAGAGAGTGAGTATATTTGAGCAATTCAGGTATTCTTCCATTGCTTAATATATTGCTTAATATCGCTTAATACAGCTTAAACAGCTGTTTAAGTAGGTAAAAATAGACGTGGACAAAGATGAAAAAAAAAAAATCATTGTGGTGTTTGGAGTGAATAATTACCTGGTGATATCAGAACAGCAGATGAAAACAAGGCAATCTCCTCCTCAGTCAGCTGTAAGGAACACAAATTCTTTGCAAAGTCAAACGCTTCATTCACCAGATCATCAGAACCTGCAGACCACAGAGGATAAAATCAATGCTAGAAATTTATCAGCTCTTTAACCTGCCATGAAAAGTGGATTGTTTTGTTGTCAAAAAAAGTTGTGAGTGAACATCTGTACTTCTAAAACAAGTACCTTTCATCAGCTATTAAAATTCCACCTACCCTGAAAATGTATCACTAAAACACCCATTGAAGCACAAAAATTATCAAGAATTAGGGGCATGACCTGTACAAAAATTGCACAGAGATCTTAGAAGAGGGTTTTCTTTAGCCAGTGTGGAACTAAATGCTATTTCTAAACAGATATTAAATCTAAGAGGCATGAATGACTAGTCCTAAATAACTTCCACATATATAATTTTATTAATTAACAGTCCCAATATTTATGAAAATCTGTGAAAACATCATAAAGACCGAAATGAATCAACTAATGCACATTATAAATGCTTTAAACTTTAAAGTAATGTTATGTTTATCCATATGCAAATAAGAAAAATATATACCTATATGATAAATGTACGCATTTGAAGCAAATATCTCTCTTTGAATTTGGTCCTGAATAAATTTCTGATAATGTATCAGTCTCATGGATGGGCAAAAGACATCCATTTAGCTATTAACATTTCAGGTAGCACTCAATATCATGTTGAGAAATGAAGAAATTGTTTCAATGTATGAATCTAAATGTGCTTAAAAGTTTTAGGCAAAACACTATTTTAGGTAAGTCCTTGTTTATATTTTGTTGTAGTTCATCATTTTAGTCCCCTCATTGCTGGGGCTAAAATTGCCTTTTGCAAGACACAATTAGTGGGAGAGATTTGATACATCAAGCATAACTGAACTGTGAAGATAAACGGCTTGGCTCCTAGCATAAACTTACGTTTTATCAAAACTTCAGATGGCAGAGTAAGAAATCTGTCTGAAAAACCTTCATGCTGCTCTTTTTTATTAGAGAAAAACACCATCACTGCTAGCACTGCTTTTTCAGTTCAGCCTAGACGTTTGGAGGTTTGGGGATTCAATATTTACTAGAGATTTTCATTGTGGGTCACTAGTTTCAGAAAGACAAATCTGTCACTATGCGGCTCAATGTAATTGGTTGAAAAGAAGAACACCAACGTACCCAAGGCTTTAAACATTTGCATCCCTCCATACTTTCCTTCAAACAGAACAGTATTGTTGAGTGGGTTGAAGGCACGGCACATTCTCACCAAAACCACTTCCAAGCAGCCTATTTGACATAAAAAAGAGCAAAAGGTCCACAAATTACTGCAAAACATCAGAATATAGGAAATGTCAGGAAAATATTTAGGAAGACATCAGTCATTAGAAACATCAGCAGGGATAGACACTCTTTGAAGGCATGCAGATGATATGTCTCTGAATGAGAGGAAAAAATATTTGTCTGCTTTGAGTATAGAAAGGGACAATTTCTGGTCCAACCTAACCACCTTTTCTTTAGGCTGATTTTTCTCCCATTGCAGCAAATTGGCAGTCTGGACTTAATCTGAATTTAGGCCTGGGAAAATATTTCAATTTGAAATATTTTATTCTGAAAATCAGGCATTTATTGAAACTTCTTTTTAATAATTAAACCTTTTTTATACAAAAAAGCAACTTCATTCAATGTGTATACAAATCCCAGCTTCATTTGGGTGGAGGGGGAAAGCATCACAAAGTGTTTTTAGAGAGAAAATAAAAGTTAAAGTACTGTCAAAAACACCCCTAAATTGGGTTTTACTTTTGTTTCCCTTGTTTTTCTGTCAGGTTGGGGAATAGCCAAAGGAACCTTTCTTTTTTTCTCCTTATCTTTCCTTTTTATTTCCCAACTGCAAAAATATACAGTTTGGGAAAATGAAAGGAAAAATTTTAAGCATCCCCTAACTAAATCCAAGACTCCTGTAAGAGGAACTTTGAATCTGAGGATTCTTTTGAGTGAAAGGTCCTGATTTCTAACTCCTGCTCAGCATTAAGAGCAAAACAGAAAATATAAGGTGGCATATTTATACATGCTGAAGCTAAACAGAGTTGTTTGACAGTACGGTGAAATATAACTATATCTTTTGCTGAAGATGCAGTTGTGTTAGCTTTGCCAGCCAAATGAAGGAAGTTACTTGGGGTGCACTGGCATCTGCAGAATATTTGAAATTAGTACGAACTTTAAAAAAATATTTCTCATGCTACGACTCTGTTTTTCCAGGAGGTTGCCTGCGTGTTCCCAGGGTCTCTCTTCCCAGGGTCTCTGTATCCCGTCCCTTTGCACCTGTGCCCACTGTCTCAGTCCAGCCCCACACCGAGCCACAGCCCTCTGTGTACACTGCTGAATCACACTGGCTTTCGGCCTTAATGAAGAGGTGTCTCTTGAAATAGGAAACACTGCTTATGCTTTAACGAGCCACCTCACACAGCATCCTGCCTTTTACACATGGAGGGAGCAAGAAACTGATATGACAGGGTAAATGCAGTTAATTACCAGTAGCAGTTCACTTGGTCATACCATTTTGTCTTCCCGAGTTTGGCGGTGTTACTACATAGTCATGATAAATCTTGTCATGATTCTTCCGGAGGACAGAAATTACCGAGTCCCATGACAGGGAAGGAAACCCTTTTCCCCCTTGCCCTTATGCACACACGTGCACGCCCAGGCATGCACAGAGAGCAGGTCTGGAGCACACCGCTGTAATCCGCTCTCATTTATTCTGAAACCAACTGGCGCCAGCAGGGATTTTCCCTCCTGTGCACTGGCTGGAGGGTATTTCTGTAGTCTCATTAAAAAGATTAGAGATGACCACAGAGGCAGGCCCCCGTGAGCCTGCATTCGTTTCACTAATGACAAGTGGGGATTTTACAGGGTGGCAGATGACTGATTCGACCAGCTCAATTCACAGGGTCCTTCCACCACATGTCAGGTTGGAGATTGCAGTTTCTGTAACGATTGTGTGCATGTGTGTACTTAACAACCACAACCGACTGTAGAGGGAAGGGGATCAGAAGGCAGTAACATGATTAATGTGGAGAAATACGGAAGGGTTAATATAGCTAATGAAACAGACTGAAATTAGGGCTCCTTCAAAATTAAAATGATTTGTAGAACAAGACAGCAGAGCATGTTTCTAGTGTCCTGGGTGCTAAATCAGTCTCGAGCCTCCGGCGTTTACTCACCTGACTTAAGGAGGAGAATTTGGTCATTCTGGCAGAGCTCCATGAAGCCTGTTATGCGCTTTGCAAACTCCACCACATACTGGATAGCATGGGTGATCTGAATGGCACACTGCTGCCACAGAGCTTCTCTGGTCTTCCGGGAAAACACACACAGAAATGCAAAGCTGTGAGCAAGCGGGTTCATCAGCGCATTAAGTTCTTCAGGTGACCTTACAGAAAGGCACACTCCTCAGACTCCCCCCCCATCCCCAGGCAGAGCTAGCAGCATCTCTGCTTCTCAAGGTACCCGACACTTGTCATTAGAAGGCTGTTTTCACAAGCCGATTTCCCCAATGACCTGAACTCTGGCATTGCCTTTTCAAAGGGGCAGAATGCGTTGTCCAATGTTAAAATGTGATTCTAATGTTGGCTTTTGTGCAAGATAGACAAACGGTGGCACAAACAATGTAAACAACCCAGAATACTCTTACGGAAGAAGTGGCATAGTGGTATTAAGTTATCTAACAGAATATTTTTGCTAGTTTGAAACTTAAAATAATATATACTTAAAGTATCATTGCAATCTGAACACTGACTGTGTCAAAATTTTGTCTCCTTGATAATCATTGTCCTTGCACACACAAGTATGCAAATGAAAACTGATGGTCTTCGTTTGCATGCCACAGCTCTGCATACCGTGGTGTATTTTTATTCTTGCTAATACTGCATAGCCCCTCAGCTTTCAAAGAACAAGTTGGAGTCTCTTCTGTCTCTTCCGTGATCAGCTAATGTGCCAATTGAAATCTGATTGAAGAATCATTGCTAGTGATGCCAGTGCAAGAGGCACAAAGATTTCTGTTAACTGGACTACATCTGAAGAGGTGCCAGTGGGAAATAGTCTGAACTTGACCTGAGAATCTCAGAGGTAGAATAAAAATGTAGTGTCATGAGATAATTTTTCCACCCAGTTTTGAACAACTTCAATTTAAGGAGTACTTTCAGTTTGTCATTATCTATTGTCTATAAGTGACAGATATTTGTTATTCACATAAAAAGGGGATGCGTTCTCAAAATAATAAAGAAACAAAGTTAGGTTGTCTTATTTTCTTAAAATCTTTATAACAGAGGATCTAATCTTGATCACATTGAAGTCAGCTGAATTTCTGTAGTTTAGAATTGTGATAACAAGCAAAGCATGGAAAGCTGGATTCCATAACCATGCCTGAACTTTGACATTAGCAAACATCCCAACATGCTGGAAAGCTGCTGCTTCTTTTTATGAAGTGTCAGTCCTTTGCTTTCAGTAACCATCTCCTCAAAAATATTTAAAAGCCTGTTTTGACCTATATGAAACTCATCAGCATATCCTTGCCAAATACATTACTATAGGGAGCAGAAGAAAAAGCATATTACAGGATTGTACCTTGCTCTGGTAAACCTTAATTTCTTCATATGTGTGAGTCTGCCACGCTAGCTGGTGTAGTTCCTCCATTGTATATTGACATGTCTCCAAATGAGATTTAATGATATTCTGTGCAATTCGATCTGTGAAGAGGAGAATAAAAAATAGCTTGCATGAACAGTGAACAGTGATTTGCAATAGCAAAATGTTGAAAACATTAAAGATGTTGGAAAACGCAGATTTAAAAAAAAAAAATCTTTTCTTTCCAAAGCTACCTTTCTTATTTTTTTCATTTCTGAAGATGACTGTTGCAAAATGTTTCAGTATTCAACCCAAAGCCAAAGGATGCTTGATAAATAGTGGATCTGCACATGAAAATTACAATTAATCTTGTGAAACTATTCAGACTCTTTCATTCTGGAAGTGATTTTTTTTTTCCTGTGTTTAAATAAATGTCATTTGGAGACCCTGGTTACCTGATCACTTCTGTCTGCCCCAAGCCTGTGCAGCTGCGCAGCTCCGGCTGCTCCGTCCTGACATGGGCATTTGCATTGCTTTAGGGTGACCCATATCAGAGAAATAGGAAACAGGTCTCTTCTCTTTTTTCTCAAGTTAGTTTTCAGCTGGATCAGTTTCTGATTTAGCTCAATGAACACGAACATGGAGACTGGTGCTAGCAAGGGGTGAAAGCTAGAACTAGCATCTTGGGTTTTAGAAGGAGAGATGGGGGGAATAGATCTCACATACAGGATTAAGTTACCTTAAAGTTATTCTGAAATTGCAGCCTTAGAAAGTACTGTGTAACATGGAATACGGGATGCAAGGGGAAAGGGAAGCATTCAGTGGTGGCCCGAGACCCCACTGAAACTAAGAGTAAACTTCTCAGGGAAGTATTTTAAAGTAGATCTTTGCCCTTTAGGCCACTTGACTGGATTAAAAAGTTTTTCCAAAAAATTTCCAACATGAATTCATTAGCACTCGAAGTTGAAATGTCTTGATAAAACATGCTATAGAAATGTGATGATTTCTTATATTGCAGCTTTGAGACCTATATTTCTAATGAAGCTCAGTGTTTCAGCCTAAAGACGTTGCTTAAGCTGAATACCTTTTAAACAATGGAACAAAGTCACAGGACTGAACCGAAGCCCTTTCGCAGAAAACATGTTTGTAAAAAAGGAAAGGACATTGACAATGCATTAGCCAAACCTGAGCATGGGAAGTAGAAAGAACTAGGAATGTCATCATTTATTCATTTACATCCTCAACAGTTTGCATACAGTGGGTGGATCTGGTGCTTGGAGTCCCAAAATAAGACACTTTCTTTGGCCAAATGTTGACTGGATTTAAAAACACCAGGAAGAAGGAAAGCTGAAAAATGAATGTAAATGTGTATATGCTCCCTGCAATCACTATTAAAGGAGTGTTATTTAAAGGAGAGATGCCTGCGCTACTGTCACAGTTAGTAAGATGGGACTCAGCAGAAAGGCGCTGAAGAAAACACAAATAAGGTTTTTGTAGGAACAGTAAAACCTGCTCAATCCAATCTCTACAGACATCCCTTTAAAGGTCATCACTGTCTTTAGGTTTCCTGATGGAAGAATTGACTCAGGTATAAAGTGAGTACAGGGATCTATCCATCGTTGTTTTATGGAAGGTTGGATGCAAGTCTCAACCCATGATTTTAAGCTGCTGCATTTTATACTAAAAACCTTAGAGATAAATGGACATGTTGGAATAAAGGGATAATGAATTTAAACAGATTTTTTTTAAAGGATCAACAAAAGTTTATTTGCATTTCTTTAACCAAGAAAAGCAAGCAAACCCCACCTTTTTTAGAAAGATCAAATTTCAGATATTTATCCCCATATTGTTCTACTTAAAGTACAGTTTTAACAACATCATCTTTCTGGTAACCTCCTTAGCCACAGTAAACCTGAGTACAGAAGTTAAGCTCAAGCTATAGATTTTGTCACTTATCTTTCTGGAAGGATTTAACCAGACAGAACTGAGGGATGGTCAGAGGACCATTTAGGCCTTGTATCTAAAACACCACTTTTTGTTTTAGTACAATTTCATGGAAGTATGATTTCAACTTGTATTACACTGCTACAGCCTGAATGGTGCACCCATTGGCTGGTCTTTTGTTTGTTGTGCTTCCTAGCCCAGCTCTCCTAGCCTCAACATTTGTTACAAAAGTTGGAACAATTCACATACTTGACATAAAGAAAATGCTTACAATAAATACCTCAAATACTTTAATATTACTGCATAGACAGATTTTGAATCAGGTAAGGTGACCTGATGCCAACAATCTGAGAATAAGACCTTTTCATTTCACTGACCTCAAAATATACTTGATTAGCCGTTCTATATTACTGCAAAGAGGCTCAGCCCCACTCCTTTTCCTACCGTTTATATTTTTACCTTAGGACCGGAGAGCTGACAAACTCTTCAGGGTTTTGTAAGGATGGCATCCTGTATTTTACCCCCATACACCTTTTCCTTAGGTACCTGTGCTTGTGTTCAGCTGACATTAAAACCCATTTAGATGTGCGAAGGCCTAGGGCAATCGCAGCAAGCAGCAGCTCTGAATGCTGACATCCAAAGAGGTATCAGGTGCAAGACAGACTTGAAACTCTTGTGCCGCAGGCTAGGCAAGGCTGAGTGTGTGATGGAAAGGGTACACTGGGTCTCAGGGGAGGAGGGGACTGCTTATTCAGCATAAGCAGCAGAGGAGGCTGCTTGCTTACACTCAACGCTGGAGTCCCTGGAAGGAGCTTTGTGCAAATATAGCATACACTGGGTGTGCAGAGCTGACATGATGCAAAAAGTAAAAGAAGTATTAGCTTGTCTTGGCTTCTCAGTTGGTCCACCAAGAGAAGATCCAATGCAGGCAGAGCAAAGAATATCACTCTCAAATGTTTTCAAAGACCATAGCCTTTTTTTCTGACATTTTCAGATTTTTTCAGATCTTTTCACTAATGAAGTTGGAATCAGTACACATCTCGGCAAATCCCATGCAGAAGGAAGTTCCTAAACTGTGGGGAATAATGTACTGACATCTAGTGTAAACCTGTCCTGTCACACGGCACAGGTACTCTGGTGTACCCAAAATATGATACATTTCTGTGAGACGTGGCAGCTCTGAATCACTGCTGCCAACTGAGTTCAACAGATTAATTGTTTTGGTAGAACTAGAAAGAAAGGGACAATGAGGAAAGAAAGCAAACAAACAGCTTCATACAGCGGGAGGAGAGCTATTGCCTCGATATAGAGGCTGTGGCCTCTATGGAGGTACCCTGCTGGGGTGATGCTCAACAGCTATGTCCCTCCTGTTCTCTAGGCTAGAAGAGTCCACTACAGTTACTCCGCTCATTAAGTCTTTACTTTTGTTCATTTTGTTTTCAAAAATCTGGAGCCAGGGATTTCAAGGGTCCCCTTACACTGTGAAGCTGCATGGAGACAACTAGGAATCCTGTTTGGATGGGCTGCAAGGACTATGAAAGACAACTGCAGGATTTGTAAAGCTTATCTGCCATAGTATGTAAAAAGACAAATGTAGACCAGGTGCTTTACTCCTCCCCTTTTGTCTATATACTGGGCTTATTATGTTAGGGATATATCTCCTACCATGCATCATGATCACTTGATACTACATGATACCATGGGGAATCTGAAAGCCACGACACACCCTGGCAGATTGACTCTTTCTGGGAAACAGGGCTCACAGAAAATAACGTGTTCCCAGTGTCTGAACTTCAGTATGCACTTACATTAGAAAGCTTGGTTCTAAATTTGAAGATTTCTTAGTATTGGTACCTTGAAATTTTTCAGAGAAAGCAGACACTTTTTGTACAAATGCTATGTTTCATTTAAAAAAAAAAAAAAAAAGTCTAGAAAAATGTATTTGCTTCCAGAGAGGTAAACCAGAAACAACATACTCAGTCAAGCAGTCAATAGTTGTAGCCAATATTTTCTCTTGAAAAATCAGAAATAGTCAAACAAGATGCATCCTGGAATGACCACTTATTTCATTTCTGTCCTGAGTATATCTGACTGGTTTTCTGTAATGGCCCACTATGCTAGCTGTAAAGTCTTGTCCATTCCTAGGGGTGACAAGGAAACCTACATATTGTTGGTTGGCGCAGTTGGAAAGCAGAAACCCGGGAGGTCGGGCTGGCCTCTGCGCCCCGCAGCGGGTGGGAATGCTGCCTTTCCTGTCACAGCAGCTTGGGTACTGCTGGTGGGGTCCTGAAAGCTGCCAGCTGGATGGGGAGATAAATTAATTGGGATTTTGCAATGCAGCGGTGTAAAAAAAAAGTCAAATGCATAGTAGGAGATGTCCAGAAGCAGCTGAAAATTGTACATCAGGAAGCTGAAGGATTATCTGTCAAAAAGATTTGTTCTTATGCAGTAAAAAAATTGTGGGTTTCTTGAAAGAAATACTCTGTTCGTGTATGTAATCACTCGTCAGACAAGATGGCCTCAATGCCTACAACTAGATGGAGCAACAAAAATGTAACAGAAGGATGTGCATGTATTGTGGGTGAAACAAAGGCTGTACAACGTACAAGGGAGCATGGTAACAGAATAAATAAACATCTAGAAAATGTGCTCCTGGGCTTGTGGCTCGGTGGTTATGAGTTAGACTGTTGAGGCCAATACCTAAAGAGGCAATGTGCAAATATTGATGGGAACTGTCCTGAAGCATAACGAGGGATCTCACTGGAAGTAACAGAATTAAATGAAGCTGTCAGGGAAAAGCAGCATCTGAGGGGTGAAACGTGGAATATAGGACATAGACAAGATAGGGATGAGGAGGACTATGAGAGATCAATGCTGCTTTGGCAAAAGAAATGGCTTTTACATTTGGCCTGGCCTACCTAAAACTACAGAGAGAACAAAAAGACTTGATTCTGTGAGGACGGGCCAGTGAACAGCGGAAGTAAGCTATACCACAATTAGTGCACAATAAGTGCAACAAACCCTGGTTTCTTACAGACGTGTCAAATATCACTTGTCATTCCCTCTCTGACCTCCCACCCCCCGTGTTTGGCTGGGTAAGATGCACCATAAACAAGGGCCTGGTTTGCTCAGGCCCATTGGCCAGCAGCCAACACCTTTTGGAGTGAACATGGGCCTG